GGGACTCCAGGATCATGACCTGAGCCGAAGGCAGTCGCTTAACCAACTGAGCCACCCAGGCGCCCTACTCCTCAATCTTCTAATAATAGTTCAGTTCTATTCTCTTTTAGATCCAGGAAGGTATGGACTTTTCAGATCTTATGGGTGGAGCAGAAGTCTATGTATAAGATGACCAGCAGAAAGCTTAATAGGCCAGGATTAACATAAGGGAGGAGGGTCAAATAAGCCCTTTGGATATAACATCTATTAGACTCTAGAAGAAAGAACATTCCAAAAACCCCTAGTTGTGTTAGACACTGAAAAATAATTTACAGAAGAATGTTATCTGCCCACTGGAAGTTTATGGTAAAAGACTTTGAATAGAACACCTTAAAGTGAAAACAGAATAGAAAACAGCTTTTTTTTCTGTTCTGAGGTAAGAAATCATATTATATTCTAGAATGGCATTGTTAAAAATCAATAAGCATTAAGTGAGCAGTTAATCAATAATCAGTGATGGGTAACTGATTTGCCCTAAAAACTATGGATCAGGAACAGTAAATGATTTCAAGTAAGTCAGCCATTGTTGAATTTAAGCAAAATGGGAAATAAGCAAAATCAGTCTTTGGTGACCTCTCCCACCTGTGTCCCTTCTTTTTATTCTATCCTCTATCCATCAGGCTAACTTGTGTTTAATTCTTGTACTTACGTTCCTGTCAATGAATCTCTGATTTAAAAAAAACTTACTGATAATAGTACCATTTATTCATTCAACAAATTTTTATTGAGTTTCATCATGTGTATGATAATATACCACTTTCATTTGGTCTAGAACTGATCTGTAGGCTCTAGAGAAAGGTATGTGGGGAGGTTTTCCAGATTCATTTCTGGAAATTCATTCATTCATTCATTCATGCTCTTAAACAAAAAATCCCCTTCAAAAAAAACACAAGGGGCGCCTGGGTGGCTCAGTTGTTAGGCATCTGCCTTCAGCTCAGGTCACGATCCCAGGGTCCTGGGATCAAGCCCCGCATCAGGCTCCCTGCTCGGCGGGAAGCCTGCTTCTCCCTCTCCCACTCCCCCTGCTTGTGTTCCCTCTCTTGCTGTGTCTCTCTCTGCCAAATGAATAAATTAAAAAATCTTTAAAAACAAAACAAAATAAAAACAAAAAAAACATAACGGGGTGCCTGGTTGGCTCAGTCAGTGGAGCGTGCAACTCTTGACCTCGGGATTGTAGGTTCAAGCCCCATGTTGGGTACACAGATTACTTAAAGATAAAATCTTAAAAATATATATATATAACAGAATGGATACTGTAGAAATAAGAAAACTGGAATATTTAATAAGATTTACATAATAAGATTAAAATATATAATGACAGCCAAAGAAATGAAAATTGCTAACATCATAAAAATGTTTTTTTAAAAATGATTTTATTTATTTGAGAGAGAGCAAGATAGAGCACGAGCAGGGGAAAAGGGCAGAGGGAGAAGCAGACTCCTTGCTGAGCAGGGAGCCTGATGCAGAACTTGATCCCAGGACCCCAGGATCATGACCTGAGCCGAAGGCAGACACTTAACTGACTGAGCCACCCAGGCGCCCCTAAAAATGTTTTCTACGAAGATCACTTAGTAATACACTGAAAGAATCAGGAATAAGAAACTGATACGAAAACAATGGATCGTGGATCACATCAAAAACCAATGATGTATTGTATGGTGACTAACATAACATAATAAAATTTAAAAAAAAAGGAATAAGAAACTGAGTGTACTAGACAATGGAATACTATTCAGCACTAAAAAGGAATGATTATACATGCTATAATGGATAAACTTCAAAAGCATTATGCTAAATGAAATCAATCAGACATAACAGACTATATATTGGATGATTCCATCTATATGAAATGTCCAGAAAAGGAAAATCTATAGAGTCAGAAATTAGATTAGCAGTTGCCCAGTGCAGGGGGTGGGAAGGAAATTAACAATAAATGGGCATGAAGAATTTGACTAGGGCGAATAAAATATTCTAGAACGGATTTATGGTATTTTACAAGCTAGTAAGTCTCCTTTAAAAACCACTGAATTGTAACTTAAAATAAACAAATTATGTGATATGTAAAATACACATACACACACAAAAAATCCAGATGTACTTAGTGTTCTCCTCTCTTTTATAAATGTAATACTAGACAGTGCCCCAAACCCTCTTTGAACCAAAGAAGGGAAAACAACTACTCCCTGGATCCGTCTTGTTTTCTGATTACCACACATGAACCCCTCTGCCCTTCAGAAAACCAGCATCTGTTATCCACACATACTGAATAAATACAGCAGAGCAAAACAGACATTCTCCCTTTCCAACACCTGTAGCCCAAATTCCATGTGAGCAAACTGAGCACCATCCCTGACTCTACCCAAGATCTTATTCTTTTTAAATTTTTTTTTTTTTTAAGATTTTATTTATTTGCGAGAGAGAGAACGAGAGACAGAGAGCATGAGAGGGAGTGAGAGGGAGGAGGGTCAGAGGGAGAAGCAGACTCCCTGCCGAGCAGGGAGCCCAATCTGGGACTCGATTCCGGGACTCCGGGATCATGACCTGAGCCGAAGGCAGTTGCTTAACCAACTGCGCCACCCAGGCGCCCCCAAGATCTTATTCTTTACTCTAGTGGCAATGATGGATTGGCATGGAGCTAAGAAGGATGGAACCAGGCAGTAAGGATAGTACTGTATGTAAATAACGTTTCCTATAATCAAAACCTTTTTATTTTTTTGATGGCAAGAGAGAAGAGGAAATCTTTTCAACAGAATGGAAACTGTGAGAACATGATTGTTCTTTTATTAACCTCCATGAATTCACCTACCCAGTGCTGAGTGCTTACACTGTTTATCAAGGACATATAGATTTGTTTTAGCATACTGTTCTTAACTATTAGCTCTGAATAAAACTTACCAACGGAAATGTGCTCTGTCCGCTCTGGTTGTGTCTCATCCTCAGCTCTTTGTACAGATACCAGATGTAATTGACGGTGTAAAGAAATGAGGAAATGTAGAATATCTAGGTGAGAATCAAAAAAACTCATAACTGGCCCACTCTGACTTCTTTCAATTTATTACATTATTTTCTGCTATAAGAATCCTACCTAATGGTCTATTAGTAACTTACCGTCTAACATCCATAACATGCAAAACTGGGCCATGTCCGGGAATTCTACCTAGCCCTACCTATTATATGTCTTGGATTCCTTATTTTATCCTTTTGACTATTTAGAGGAACCACAGCATTAGCCACCTCCTCTCACCCAACTATTCTACTATTATGAAGATATCCTAAAGTATTTTTCTATTTTATTTTTTAATTGGAGAGAACATAAGGATTTCCATTTCTAATAATGATAGCTTAGGCTATTTGAACCAAATTTCCCATTTAAAAAAATTAAACATGCTGGATGAAATATTTTTTAAATCCTTAAAAGCATCAAAGAACTGACAAGATAGCAAGGAATCAGCAGGACAAAATCCCAGAGAAAAAAATTTCTGCTTCCATCTTTGATAAAATAATAGAAACAGAATTTGCCCTTCAGCCTTAAAAACGAAAAATTGGGAAAATATGAAACAACTGGTTTTCAAATATTAGGTAACAATCAGTGCAGAACAGTAATCCCTGAAAGAAGAAAAACAAGCAAATGTCCCATCTCACTGGCAGGAAAAAGTGAGTGCAGTGAGGGGGAATCCAAACAGATGGGCTGTCTTGGTGAGTTCAGAGTTTGGAGAGGCCAAAGAGCTACAATACATGAAGCAGATTGTCTGAGAAGAGGTAGCCACACAGATATAGTGCTCTGGAGATTTGCAGGGGTACCCTCGAGTCCTTGATTAAGTACTGATCTATGCATGTGAGACAGAAAACCATGAAGACTGGGAACAGAACAACCAAAGAGGAATAGGTGAAACAATCTCCAAAGCAATAGTTTGTGTTTCCATCAGCCAGAGTGGAAAGACTTCCTAACATATAGGCAGGAAATGAGGGTCCTACAGAATAATAAGGTAGAATCATAAGAAGAGTATCGCCTCACTAATGGGACGAAATTAGCTCTACATCAAAGACTGCCCAAATGAAAGTTTAAAAGCAAGACTTAGAAAAATAAGCAAGCCTTGAAAGGATCAGATAGAGTCAGAGTTAGTGACATCCAAGACAAAATCAAATTTAAAGGAATATATATATATATATATATATATATATGTATGTATATATGTATATATAAATCTAATAACCAATAATGTAAACTCTGCAATGTCTGGCATCTAATAAAATCTTATAAATCTTGGTTGGCTGTGAGCTCCGCTGAGGAGCCAGAGGTTGGGCAGCTGCTCCAGCAGCTCCCCAGTCGCTCCTGATCCCTGGCCCCTCAGTGGCATGACATGCAGGTGATGCTGAAGTGGCCCATGGAGTTTGTGGTGGTGCTGCTGAGCCCTGGTTCCCCAAAATGGCAGCACCTGCCCCTCTGTCCAGCTCCACACATGATCAGATTATGCGAGAATATGGGACAAGATCAACAAGCCTGAAGCTTTCCTGAAGCCTGTCCTGAAGCTTTCTTGCATATCTGGGTACCAGGTTTTACCTGAAGAGATGGCTGCCATACACTTTTTGTAGCTGGTTTGATAATCACATTTCAGCTCCAACTTTGCATCCTGAGAACATTTAAACATTTCGGTAGGTCCTTTTTAAAATACAACTTGAAAGACCTTAAAACTTTCTGCTTGCCACAAGCATATCTTTCTTTTCTGCTTATCAGTAAACAACTGTAACCTAATGTGATAGGTTTTCCAAACAAAAATACCTGGAGCAGCAGTTTAACAAAAGGTGTCCTCAGTGCCACTCAACAAATGGGAGTTTTCCCAAGCACAATTCTGTAAGAAGTGTGTGTATGAATGTATGTGTGTGTGTATTTTAAAATATTATTTGCATTGTGCAAATTTGTTTGATCTTGGGGATTTTGGCTGTGAATTTGATGTGCCACAATTATGGTTAAAAACACTTGCTTGGGGGCGCCTGGGTGGCTCAGTTGGTTAAGCGACTGCCTTCGGCTCAGGTCATGATCCTGGAGTTCCTGGTTCGAGTCCCGCATCGGGCTCCCTGCTCGGCAGGGAGACTGCTTCTCCCTCTGACCCTCCCCCCTCTCATGTGCTCTCTGTCTCTCTCATTCTCTCTGTCTCAGATAAATAAATAAAATCTTTAAAAAAACAAAACACTTGCTTGGTCTACAGAAGATCATTAATGTTTTGTGACCGTATAAGTTATAACGGTAGATTGTTTTATGTGTAGGTATTATTGTTAAATACATGGACTATTTCAAGGCAAAGAGTATGAATCATAAGTTAGAATGACATAGATGTGATTATGGTGACATAAAAACTGTTGTCCTAGGTCTACAAATGCTTGATGAGGAATTAGGACAAACTGGAGATGGGTTGTTTAACACATGGACTCTGCCCAGCCATGTTGAAAAATACTTTTGACTCCAGGCCTTAAAATAGCCATGTGGAGTCTGTGCTCACCTCATTCACACAGAGAGCTCCCTGGACAGTGAACCTCTAAAAAGAAGAAGTTTCCCTCAGAGCAGGAACACAACACAGGTGAGCATGGGGCAGTGGCACTGCTACTTGGAAGGAGCCATTTCACCCCTATATCTGTTATTAAAAACTGAATTTGGATCCTTTGGTCAAGTTCCCCCAAATTCTTTTTAAGAACTGCTTGAGCTTTGTTATTGCAACCCCCTGCCAAAACTTACAGACTGATCATCACCTTGTTTCCAAGGCTGAGGAACAGAAAGTAGCCTCTGTTTTGAGGAGGTGGAAGTACACATTTTTTACTGTTACTTGTTTAGAACCACATTTTACAAAATGCCTTGTTTCCTTTATTATTGTTTCTGGAAAGGAAAGTTTTATTAAAATTGTTTTAGTTTGAATATAAAATAGTTTTATTAATTAGGGCTTATTTTGAAAAATTCTGAGTTCAATTCAAATGTATCCCTGTACCTTTCTCTCTTTTTTTTAAGACTTTATTTATTTGACACACACACAGAGAGAGAGAGAGCACAAGCAGGGGGAGTGGCAGGCAGGCAGAGAGAGAGGGAGAAGCAGGCTCCCCGCTGAGCAAGGAGCCCGATGCGGGGCTTGATCCTAGGACCCTGAGATCATGACCTGAGCCGAAGGCAACTGCTTAACAGACTGAGCCACCCAGGCACCCCTCCCTGTACCTTTTAAAGTAAGGTAATAATCAGAGATAGTTATTCTGATCAGATGGCTTAGAGAAATTTCTGGAATGTTCATATTCTAAGATTCCTTATTAATGAATGTCTGACTTAAATCTAACCAAAATCTGTAACATTATTCTTTGTAGATTTTCATTATATAGTGTTAACAAGCTTACTTGTGAACAAATAAAATATTTCAGCTATTTGTTTACCTTGCCTTTTTAAAAGATTTTATTTCTTTTTTGGGACACCTCTTCCCTGGCTTGTACTATCTCTCTCTCTTTCTCACTATTTCTCTCTAATAAATAAATCTTAAAAAATTTAAAAAATTCTAAAAAAGATTTTTTTTTAAGATTTTATTTATTTGAGAGAGAGAGAACAAGCAGGAGGGAGGGGCAGAGGAAGAGGGAGAAGCAGACTCTCTGCTAAGCAAGGAGCCTGACACGGGGCTCGATCCCAAGACCCAAGGATCATGACCTGAGCTGAAGGCAGACACTTAAGTGACTGAACCACCCAGGCACCCCAAGATTTTATTTATTTATTTGAGAGAGACAGAGCATGAGCAGGGCAAGGGACAGAGGGAGAAGTAGACTCCCCACTAAGCGCAGAGCCCCATGCCAGCAGAGCTTGATCCCAGGACCCTAAGATCATGACCTGAGCCGAAATCATCTGCTCAACCAACTGAGCCACCCAGATGCCCCTTACCTTGCCTTCTAAAAAAAATATTATAAATATACAATGAAGCAGGAAAATATGGCCCATGCCCAAGAGAAAAATTAATCAATGGAAATGGGACTCAGAAATAGCAGATCATAAAAATCAGTAGACAAAGATGTTAACAAAATTATAACAAATATACTCCATAATGTCCAAGAAGGTAGAGGAAAATAGACAAGTAGAGATATGGAAGATATAAAAAAGACCCAAATTGAAATTCTACAGATGAAAAATACACGAAATTAAAATATGACAAAGTAGAAACTGCAAAAGAAAAGATTAGTAAACTTAAAAATATCGAAATAGAAAATATCTAAAATGCGGGACGCCTGGGTGGCTCAGTCGGTTAAGCGTCTGCCTTCAGCTCAGGTCATGATCCCAGGGTCCTGGGATCAAGTCCCGCATCGGGCTCCCTGCTCCACGGGGAGCCTGCTTCTCCCTCTGCCTCTGCCTGTCTCTCTCTCTCTCATGAATAAATAAATAAAATCTTTAAAAAAAAAAAAAAAAGAAAATATCTAAAATGAAACAGAGGAAAAAGACTTAAAAAATGAGCAGGGGCACCTGAGTGGCACAGTCAGTTAAGTGTCCAACTCGATTTCAACTCAGGTCGTGATCTCAGGGTTTTAAGATTGAGCCCCACAACTGGCTCTGTACTCAGTGGAGAGTCTGCTTGGGTTTCTCTCCCCCTCTTCCTCTGTTCCCCTCCATCACCTCAAATAAACAAATAAATCTTTAAGAAAAAATGAGCAAACCCTCAGTGCACTATGAGACAATATCAAGAAGGCTAATGACCATGGAACTGGAATTCCAGAAGGAGTAGAGAAGCAGGGAAAAGCAAAATATATTTGAAGAAATAACCAAATTTTTTTCAAATTTAATGAAAATAGAAAGCACAAGAAGCATGGGGGAAAAAAAACACACCAAGGCACATCCTAATAAAACTACTAAAAATCAGTGATAAACAGCAAACAACAAAAACATTCAGGGTAAAAAGCCATATTATGTACACAGGAACAAAGATTAGAATGACATCACACTTCTTTTTGTTTGTTTGTTTGATCAAAGGGCATATACATTTATTATCTGA